GTCCCCGGGGTCAGGGGGGCTCTGGGGGTGTCCCCGGGGGCTCTGGGGGTGTCCCAGGGGGCTCAGGGGGTGTCCCCGGGGTCAGGGGGTGCCCCCGGGGGGCTCTGGGGGTGTCCCAGGGGGCTCAGGGGGTGTCCCCGGGGTCAGGGGGTGTCCCCGGGGGGCTCTGGGGGACCCCCAGAGACAATTCCCGGTCCTGCTCGGTGTCCACGAGGCCGAAGCCGACCCCGCTCTGCTCCAGCGCCACCAGCGGGGGAGGGGACACGGCTGGGCACGGCTGAGGGACCCCCCAGTGTCCCCCCGGTGTCCCCCAGTGTCCCCCCGGTGTCCCCTCAGTGTCCCCCGGTCTCCCCCAGTGACCCCCTGGTGTCCCCCAGTGTCCCTCAGAACCCCCCATTGTGCGCTAGTGTCCCCCCAGTGTCCCCCCAGTGTCCCCCCGGTGTCCCCCGGTGTCCCCCAGCTCCCTCCCAGTGCTCCCAGTGCTCCCAGTGCCTGCAGCTCCTGGGGCCGGTGTCCGGTGTCCCCGGGCCGCCGCCGCAGCGGAGCCAGCACCGGGCAGCGCCGCGAGGTCCCCTCGTGTCCCCTCAGTGCCACCCCCGGAGCTCCCCCAGTTCCCTCCCAGTGCCCCCAGTGACTCCCAGTGCTCCCGGTTCCCTCCCAGTGCTCCCAGTGACTCCCAGTGCTCCCGGTTCCCTCCCAGTGCTCCCAGTGCCCACCTCCAGCTCCTCGGGCCGCTGTCCGGTGTCCCCGGGCCGCCGCCGCAGCTCGGGGGGGCTCCCGGAGCTCACCGGGAGCAGCGGCCCCCCGGGACCCCCCGAGACCCCCGGGACACCCGGGGACAGAGCCAGCAGAGCCAGGAGCCACCGGCAGGGCCACAGCGGGGACATGGGGACACGGGACAGAGGGACAGAGGGACAGAGGGACAGAGGGACACGGGAGAGAGGGACAGAGGGACAGAGGGACAGAGGGACACGGGACACCGGGACACGGGGACAGAGGGACAGGGGGACAGAGGGACAGAGGGACAGAGGGGGGACAGAGGGACAGAGGGACAGAGGGACACGGGACAGAGGGACAGAGGGACAGAGGGACACGGGACAGAGGGACAGAGGGACACGGGACAGAGGGACACGGGACAGAGGGACACGGGACAGAGGGACACGGGACAGAGGGACAGAGGGACACGGGACAGAGGGACACGGGACAGAGGGACACGGGACAGAGGGACAGAGGGACAGAGGGACAGAGGGACAGAGGGACAGAGGGACACGGGACAGAGGGACACACGGACACGGGGACAGGGACACCCTGGGGACAGACACACGGACCCCGGGGACACACAGACAGACGGACGGACGGATGTCCCTGGGCCGGGTGACAGTCGGGGGGTGGCGGACGCAGCCCTGGGGACAAGGACGGACGCGACCCCCGTGGGGACACGGGGACAGTCACAGCCCCTTCCGGCGCCTCGGGGACAGACGGACACTGTGTCACCTCCCCGCTGTCACCTCCCCGCTGTCACCTCCCCGCTGTCACCGCCCCGCCCCCCGTGTGCCCCCCCCGGCTCGGGGCTCAGCCAGACCCCCCCCAAGTGTCCCCAAGTGTCCCCAAGTGTCCCCTGGGTGTCCCCAAGTGTCCCCAAGTGTCCCCAAGTGTCCCCTGGGTGTCCCCAAGTGTCCCCTGGGTGTCCCTGGGTGTCCCCCCCGCTTCCAGCCCCGCTCCAGCTCCGGAATGAGCCGGGAAAGAGGAACCGGGGGGGGGGAAATTTGGGAATTTGGGGGAAATTCGGGGGGAATTTGGGGAGAAATTTGGATGGAATT